GGTCATATCCAGATTCTAGATACATTTTTTACGATAAAGCCAACATGAATTACTGACATGAGGTGTGGATGTGAGAGAGATGAGTCAGGGATGACCCCAAGGTTTTTGGTCTGAGTAACATGGATGAACTTGTCATTAACTTAGATGAAGAAGACTACAGATGAAACACGTTTGAGTAAAATGATCTGTTGAGTTTAAATATCCATATGGGGGTATCACAAAACAACTGTATATATCTGGAGTTCAGAGAAAAAAGCAACCTCTTATAAATTAAAGGTTTTTAAGTTTTTGCAAAGTAAATCACTGGGGTCTGAGTAACATGGATGAACTTGTCATTAACTTAGATGAAGAAGACTACAGATGAAACACGTTTGAGTAAAATGATCTGTTGAGTTTAAATATCCATATGGGGGTATCACAAAACAACTGTATATATCTGGAGTTCAGAGAAAAAAGCAACCTCTTATAAACTGAAGGTTTTTAAGTTTTTGCAAAGTAAATCACTGCGTCTAATGGTGTGTGTGTGTGTGTGTGTGTAAAACTTTTAGAAAATACATTAGGGCCTCAGCACTCATGGACTATTTGCTTTTTCTCATTTACATAAATCCATACAAGTCTGCGAGGCACTTCACACCTTTATTTTTACTTTCACATCTGAAGTACAGCAATATGGATAGATAAGGTGTATATTTAAGATAACAATGTGAACAGACACATTCCTGGAGCTACAGCTATTTAAAAGTGACACTAGCATCAAGACACTCATTCTTATTCTGGGAAGGCTTTAAAAAACAATCACTTGTTATGAAACTAATTGCACTGCCAAATGCTTCTTAGGATTGTATGTGAAAATTATCATTCCTCTACATTTTACTGTTTTAAATCAAGGGAAGTAATAGACTTTGTGATTAGACTTAAAAGTTTGGTTTTGATGCTTATAACCATCTAGTTTCTAAAGTGAATAACATTTCCACACCATATCTCATAAAGGAAGACACTTTGTGCATTACTGAAGAAAGGCAAAAATTATCAAACTTCAACCAATATTGTTACATGGGCAAGCTTAACTGATGGTTGAAACCATGAAAAAAAAAAATTGTAGTGTAGATCAGCATTACTTCTCCCCTGCAGTCTACTCATTCCCAATCCCTTGTCTGGATTATTCCCTCATGCTAGAATGCCTTTCTTCCCAGCTGATATCCTCTCTTCCATCAAGACAGCTCAAATTCAGCCTCTTCCACAAGCCTGCCCTGAACCCCAGTGGTTTGTGCCACATGCCCACAGCATTGCCACGTACATGCCTAAAGCTTCTATCAGCCGTGGGCATACTACGGCCCGCGGGCCGGATCCGGCCCGTTTGAAATGAATAAAACTTAAAAAAAAAAAAGACCGTACCCTTTTATGTAATGATGTTTACTTTGAATTTATATTAGTTCACACAAACACTCCATCCATGCTTTTGTTCCGGCCCTCCGGTCGAGTTTAAGAACCCATTGTGGCCCTCGAGTCAAAAAGTTTGCCCACCCCTGTGTCATTCTGCCATGGGGCCCACAGCATTGCCACGTACATGCCTAAAGCTTCTATGTCATTCTGCCATGGATTAAGTTTAGCTAACTACGCTAAAGCAGAAGTTCCCCGAGAACAGAAAATCTTAGTCATCTTTGCCTTCCCTAAAATGCCTAACATAGTACCTTACATATCAGGGTGTAGGTGCTCACTAAAGGTTTGTTCAACTAAACCTATTAAACTAAGAAAATGATCAAATAGATGAATTCAGTGGAATATGTCTTCATTTCTTTTCATAACTTCAAACAGACTCTTTTCAGATCTCACTCCCCATCTCTCCATAACATCCCAGATAAATCCTATTACTACTCAGTTGCTTTCAAGTACTGTAAAATATAGTCTAGTCCAGTTTAAACCTTCAATTTCATATCTTATTCAAAGAATATCTATGTATCCTTAACCTCAACATAGGCCAGCCAAGATAATGTATATAATCTGGTTTGGAATGTGGGGTTTTTGTTTTTGTTTTGTGGTGTGCTTTTTTTCAATATTCTTCCTGACTCTTTCACCTTTCTACATTTCCTTCCTCACTTTCTAGTTTTTCTGAATCAGGATAGGAAGAGAAAAAGGGACAAATGTCCTGTGTGCTAGTTCCACAGGCTTTGACCAGAGGGCCAGGAAGCAGGATCATCTGTTATCCTGCGTAATTATTGAAAGCTCCTTCTCTCATTCTTACAGGATCCCAGTTTGGACAGTACATGTCAGGTCTTCATGGCAAGGTGGCCCTGACTTAAGCAAAGAGGCTGGTGCCTCCACCCTGCATAGTTCCCTGGTGTGGGAGGTACATTCTCAGACTAACCTCATACTACTCCACCCACAGTCCCCTCCTATAGCAAGCACCCTCCTTGGCAGGATCCACTGAGACAACTCAGCCTGGGCACTTCCCTTGTGGTCCTAGAGATGGACTAATACCAACTCTTTTCATTACTGCCCTCTCTCCACAGGCCACCTCACTGGCTCCAGTCACTCTTCTCCCCTCCAGAAACAAGTCTACATTCAGGAATGCCCCAAACTCTAGAAAATGTATGTCATACTCTCTTAAGGACTCTAGAAGGTGCCTTTCCAGTAGCAAGAAATAAGATGATGTAGCTCATTAAACATCCAGGCAAGAAATTAAATACCAATCTACACTTCTGAAAGATGTACCCAAATCCTGGGTTGGGAATAAAAGGTCCCTTTATGGAAACGTCAAAAAATTCTCTACTGAATAATTAACAGTTCTTCACATGAATGATACTTACAATACCCTTTTCTAATTTCTTTTATATATAGGAAGTGGTTGCTGCAATTGTTTGTTTTTATTAAGTCCCACATCCCTTTTTAGAATACTTATTAACCTTAATTTTCAGCTTTTGAACTTAAGCTGAAATCCTGAAACAAAGGAGTCCCAGTCTTTATCCTATTATCTTAGGTGCAATTCCCCTAAGTTACATCTCTGCTTGTATTATAAAGGACTCTTCATTTTAAGAGTTCCTTATTTAAATCATTAATATTTTATTAAAGTCTTCATTTAAATCTTTATTTTGTAAATAGAGATTTACAAAAAAAAAAAAAAGGAATGGGGAGCTACTGAATAAACAGATCAAGAAAAAGGAAAAAAGGAGATTCCACAACTGATCAAACAAATTTTACCTTAGTACATTGGTATATTATTCATATTCAAACATCTCATTTAATTATATATACACTTAATAAAGAGCCACTGCATAAAATGAAGAATGCCCACTTTAAGATTCAGATCAAAGCATATGCTATCGAAAAAATAAAATGAAAATTAAAAATTCTGTACAACACCCTGACTGGGTGGCTCAGTTAGAGCATCGTCCTGTGTACCAAGAGGTTTCGAGGTTTGATTCCTGGCCAGGGCATATGCCCGGGTTTGGGGTTCAGTCCCTGGTGGGAGTATGTACGGGAGGCAACCGATCCATGTTTCTCTCTCTCTCTCTCTCTCTCTCTCCCTTTCCCTCTGTGTAGAAATTCAATAAAAATAAAAACATATCCTCAGATGACTAAAAAAAAATTCTGTACAACAAAGCAAGTCAATAATTGAATACAAGAACCCCCACTTTTTGAAAGTTTGCCTATGCCACTACTTCACTTACAAACTACTTCTATTAGTACCTATTTCACTAACCAAAAGGAATCCAGCCCTGCTGGTGTGGCTCAGTTGGTTTGAGCATCCCATGCACCAGGAGGTTGCAAGTTCCATTCCTGGTCAGGGCACATACCTGGGATGAAGGCTCAATCCCCAGTAGGGGACGTGCAGGAGATAGCCAATTGATGATTCTCTCTCATGGATGTTTCTCTCTCTCTCCCCCTCTCAAATCAATAAAAACATATTTTAAAAAAATCCAAAGAGGACTTTCCCTTTTAATAGTAATTGCTTCTTCACTTCATTTCAGCTTACAAAAGGTTTCATAGGAACTCAGTTGGGGAATGGGAGGGGAGAACCTGTATGTATATAGGTTATACATGATAACTTATTATAATTTTTTGAAAATAGATGCATCATAAAACTATTAGATTTGTTATTACATGAAGAATACTCATAAAAGCTATCTAGCTAAAGAAAAATCATGTAGTACACATCAATATCTATACTAGTAGAAACTGTAGAGATTTACAGACTTGAACTAAAAATGCGTGGTATGAATGATACAACCACATTGGAAGTTATAAACTTCTAACGTTTAAATGTACACCAATCCTATGACAGAACAATTCCATTCCTAGGTGCTTAGCCCAGAGATATTAAAACATTCAACAAAAAGACATACAAAAATTGTTTGTAGCAGCTTTATTCACAATTGCCAATAAAACAAAATGTCCATTACAGAATAACGGATATACAAATTGTGGTAAAATAGACTACTACTCAGTAACAAAACAGAATGAACCACTAATACACACAATAACACGAATATATCTCAAAACCATTATGCTGAGGATAAGGAGCCAGGTACAAAACAGTACATACTCTATGGCTCCATGTAGATAAAGTTCAAGAACAAGCTAAATCTACAAGAATAGAAATCAGAACAGTAGTTGTCTATGGGGAGGAGAGAAGGACTAACTGAAAAGAGACATAGGGAACTTTTAGGGGTATTAAAATATTCAATTTCTTGAATGTGAACAGTTACATGGATCTACACACGTCAAAATTAATTAACTGGATTTTTAATATATAAATTACAACCAATAAAACTGATTTACATCTGCCCCACCAGCATGACTCAGTGGTTGAGCATCGACCTATGAACCAGGAGGTCTCGGTTTGATTCCCGGTCAGGGCACATGCCGGGGTTGTGGGCTTGATCCCCAGTGTGGGGCGTGCAGGAGGCAGCCGATCAATGATTCTCTCTCATCATTGATGTTTCTATCTCTCTCTCCCTCTTCCTTCCTCTCGTGAAATCAATAAAAATATATTTTTTAAAAAATTCATTTGATATCTTCTTTATGGATATTATGGATACCCAGTTAACACAAAGTGTAATCTCTTGCCAAAAGCTGAATATATATTGGTAACAATCATAATAAACTTAAAATAAGCTAAATCATATTCTAAAACACAAGCCCAAGTCTAAAAGTGTTTACCCAATGTCACAAGGATACAAGGCTAATTTTAGCCTATAGTAAAATAAAATGAACAGAAATAATCAGTTCACAGAATGGACAGGAATAACCAGCCTGTCTTTTCTAAAATAGGTGGTTACTTTTGACTACCATAAAATATGAAGACAACAACTTCATGTCAATATTTTCTCTGCCTACTAGCAGTCTTTGAGGAGCATACTACCCTATTTCAGTGACACCGATTTCTAAATCACTTTTCCTGATCTCTCGTCCCAAGTTTTCTCCTTTTTTGAGTAAAAATTCTATCTAGGAATATCACACAACTACTTCACTCTTGAATAAACGCTCCTTACTTCTTACCCTTTGTCCAACTGCCTTGTTTGCCTATAACCTATTTGCTATTTTTTTTCTATATTTTCAATTTCAAGCAATTAACATTTTTTTCTAACATTTTGAATTGAACAATTTCAGTTATTGTGTTCCTGTCTTTGTTCCAACATTCCTCACTAAGATGCTGCTCACATTTAGGCTACTTTACCACACTGACTTTTTTTTTAAATATATTTTATTGATTTTTACAGAGAGGAAGGGAGATGGTTAGAAACATCAATGAGAGAGAAACATCGATCAGCTGCCTCATGCACGCCCCCTACTGGGGACTGAGCCCGCAACCAACCTACATGCCCTCCACCAGAATCAAACCGAGGACCCTTCAGACCTCAGGCTGACGCCCTATCCACTGAACCAAACCTGTTAGGGCGCTGCCTCTTTTTTAACTTCACTCCTCCATGGGACCAGTGAATGATAAAGCCAAAGATCCCTTATGATTTCATTCTAAATCTTAAAAAACATAATTGGGTCATTTGACTCCAAAGCCTTATTACACAATTATCTTTTACATTTAAAAATGCTAAGGCTCTATTCCTAACCACATGACTGAATGTATCCTTTCTAAGGGATGATCTTTTGTCTGCTTGTGAAAGCCTGTAAACATTCAGTTCTCATTTTAATGGGCTTTATGACACCGTTATCCACCATTATTATTCCTGTACCTCAAACTGTTAGGTAGTCTCCTTTGGCTATTGAAGACTACTTCCAAGAACTTTTTCTACATATGCTGTTTGGAGCTGAATCCAATTCAGCTCTTGATCTACTGCATATAAGTTGCTGTAGTAGCTCATCATCACGGACCCTTCCTATAAGACTTTTGTATGGTGGCATCAATTATATTTGAAAATACAGCTGTGAAATACTATATTAATATCAAAGGCAACACAAACGACAGTGGAAGAATTCTAGAGTCTAGATATAATAATCGCAAATATATCAATAGGCCCACATCCTTCTATAACACCAACATGAAGTCATTCATATTAAAAGCCATCATCTTAAAAATTTTCCTATAATGTATACTGGCCTTTCACATTTTTATTTATTTATTCATTTATCAATCACTGGAGAGTAAAGGTCACTGCATAAAAATCAGCCACAAGCTGTAGGGACTATCTTCTTCCTCTGAAACCTTGGGTATACCACTTAGCTTCTAGTTTCATCAGGAAATTGAGGTAATTTTATCTGCTTTCAAGGTGTGGGAAGAGTTAGAAGTAACTTACGCAAGGTGTTTTACTCAATGTCTAGTATATAGGATGCTTTCAATAAATAGTACTTGGTAATAATAAACCACTGCATTCCACTGATATCCTCACTCTAGCACCCTTATCAATCCAAAATAAGAGTGCTCATGTATGATCATACTGCCATTTATAATCCTACTCTCCCTTTTACATTCCACTCATTTTCCAATGTCTACAATAGACTCGCTTTCTCCATTCACAAAATTACTTCCCACTCGCTGTAAGAAAAAGCAGCTTCAACCAGTGGTTATGAAGTTAGGGGGAAAAGCAGTGAAGGAAGGAACCACCTAAACTGTCACTGCTTTACTAAAATAAACACAGTATGCCTACTACATCCTTACTTTACATTAATCTTTATTCAAAAGTCTTTTTTGAAGTCCATAAAAGTCAGGATCACTACCTTTCTCGTGTCCTATAAATAGAACTAAACAAGTCCTATGTAAAATAGAGTGGACAAAAAGGTGTAACTGATGAATTGTCAAGAACTGTCTAAATCCTAATGATTTGTCATACTAGAAATCAACTAATGAAACCTCACCACGTGGTCGGAATGAGAAAGGATAAAACTAAATGTTTTGACTACTGATACAAAACTTGTTTGAAACACCTGGATTTTCTTCTCCTGGTTACACTCAAATCAATTATCTAAAAGATTAACTCAGATGCTTTCCTGCAACTATGTTTTCAAATTCCAATAAATAGCACTTCCTTGCTGCAGGGAGCTCGTTTTCCATATCCATTTTTATATCTTCTCAATTTCAGTAAGAACAAGAAAAATAAGAATACTGGCAACTAATTGTTATATTTAAGCATTCTTCTTTATGCAATATTTTTTAAAAGGTTTACTTTAAGAAAAAATAATAGTGGCAAACTATAAAGTGCTCTATTTTATGTCCTCTCCCCAGAAAACCACAACGTAATTCCTGGTTTAAATGCCTATCAATGTTAAATGCATATATTTCTTATTAAGTAAAGCCTATTTACAAGGTAAAATGGTGTTTGCTGCTTCATTTAAGAACACGCACACACGAACACACACACAGTCTTTCCTAAAATAACTTATATTTGAAAATGGTAAAGTTTTCCAAATATTAATTACAATAATCCCAAATAAAAATCTGCAGGGCAGTTCAATTATGGCACAATCAATGAATGACAGAGCATTTCATTTCAAAATCCCTGAGTTTTAGGATCTAAACATCCCTTTATTCCAGATTCAAAAGAATTTAAGGCATTCAAATGCTACAACACACCTGTCTTTTAGTTATAGGCATTGCTTCAATGAAAAACATAGCTTAAAAACCATGAAATGAAATCAATTCCATATAAAGCTATTGTATGATTCTGATCTCTGATCTGACTTGTAAATGAGATGTGTGTAACTTCCACTCTTCAGCAACCGGGAACTCTTTTCCCAGCAGAATGGCTATGTTAGCTTCACTGCATTCTGACCAAAAGCGAGCTGTAGTGGCAGCAGCACGCTGACAAATTGAATGGTACAGGCCTTGAATAAAGATTTCAAGGTAAGTCAAGAGGGAATCTTTTTCTGTTTGTAAATAAACTGTGTAAACTATATATAATGTAACCCATGTTTTATATCCTGGACTGACAGAGTTTTTCTTGAATACTAAGAAGAAAAAAATGTTCAAGATTCACTGAGGAAATAAATGGGAATCAACTTTGAGAAAATCTACCCACCTCATTTCCCAGAACTGCTTTCAAAGCCTCTATAAGTGATCTAAATAGATGGATGCCAAAAGCAGGGACTCTAACCAAATAAAATACTGATTTGGTTTAGAGAATACTTTGATGTTCTAGTTTTCTTGTGATTCAATAATTTTAGTAAATACATAGGTTTATTTCCAGTTCACACCCACTCCTTAAATTATTTTAAGTAAATTTAGTTAATAGATCTGAAGTTATTAGTTATTTTTAATGGTTATTAATTTATTAACTGTTCTATATTAATACTGTACAGTATGATTTCCTACTGACTTTCAAGAAACTACAGAAAAGGATGTTTTCCTAGAAAGTTCGGGGTACAGTAACTTTTTATAAATAAAATGCCCTAAGTGAAAATTTCTATGTGAAAATCATAGTCCTTAAATCAATCTTTTTAGGTTAACATTTTTAAGTTAAGCAAATGTTTGTCTTTACAGTATTTACTTTGTGGTAAGAGAACCCAATAATAAAAAGTATAACTACATAACTTCAATATATATATATATGAACTTTAAAGATTGATTACCAAGGCAATTACCATATATCACTATGGAATGAGAATACATTACACATTCCCCAAGTAAATATCAAATTTACTTCAACCACCCTCACCCCCACCCCACCAAAAAAGAAGTCATTTTTATTTAGTCATAGTCAAAGTCCTTGGACTCATAGTAGGGCTTCTTGATGCCATATTGGTGTCACATTCTGCCAGTCATCCAGTCAGCCTTCTTTTTCAACTTCTTTGTCTACTAGTGCATCACTGGACCCAGCAGGCAGCTCACCCAGACAATTTCAGTAACGGATTTTGGCTCTCTGTGCATAACAGATGAAAATCTTTACGAAGTATCCAGTTTGTCTTATAGCTGAGAGATCTGAACCTGCTGCAGATGTCACATATAAATTCTTGAACGGATTTTTATCATCTGTGTCACCTATAAAACAAGACAGTGTCACCAACAGCGTTGTCCTGGAGAACAACTATTTCAGTAATGCAAAGCTTTCTGCCTCATAACTATAGTCATTTATTTGCCTAAAACAGGGGTCAGTAAACTAGATCCCACAGGATATAAGTGCCCTATTAGGTATACCACGACCTAAGAATAAATTTTCTATTAAAAAAAAAGTTTTAAAACTTTTGAAAAGTTTTTAGAAGACTAATATGAAAATTAGTGACCTGTGAAAATTACATGAAATACAAATTTCAGTCTCCAAAAATAAGGTTTTATAAGAACATGGCTACTTACTCATTTTCATATTTTTCTATGGCTGCTTTCATGCTACAATGGCAGACTTAAGCAGGTGCAGTAGAGACTGTGTGACCCATAAATGCCAAAATATTTACTATCTGGTACTTTAAAGAAGTTTGCTGACCCCTGGCCTACAGGATATTTAGTGGGTAGATAATATGATACCTAGTGTCTCTTGCATATGGAACCCAGTTGTTCCCGTTTACTTCTATTCAATCATTTAACACAGTCATGCGCTACATAATGACGTTTTGGCCAACAACCAACTGCATATATAATGATCCCATAAGAAGAAACCCAAAGAAAATCCATAGTGAAGGGTTTAGCAGAAACTCTTATAGACCAATGAGCTCCTCAAAAGTTTGAAAACATGGATCTCAACACTGAATTGTTTCACTAATACAGAGGAAATGTTTTTGGTACATTAGCTCCTTACAAGTGAATGTATGATTTTAAAAAAGAAAAAAAATCAAGCAAACAAATATGAATATACTTCTGAAAAGAGGGACACCTCCTCAAGAAGAAACCAGCCTGGCTGGCATGGCTCAGTGGTTGAGTGTCGACCTATGAACCAGGAGGTCATGGTTCGATTCCCAGTTAGGGCAAATAACCAGGTTGCAGGCTCCATCCCCAGTAGGAGGTGTGCAAGAGGCAGCCCATCAGTGAGTCTTATCATTGATGTTTCTCTCTCTCCCTCTCCCTTCCTCTCTAAAATCAATTAAAATATATATTTTTTAATTTTTTTTTTTTTTTTTAAAGAACTCAGGCAGGTCTTTCTGGAGCTGAAGCAAGCATTGTTAAAGGAGATGACAGCTCCATGCCTGCTACTGACCCTGAAGACTTCCCAGTGGGACAAGATGTGGAGGTAAAAAGTAGTGATACAGATGATCCTGACACTGTGTAGGTCTAGGCTAATGTGTGTGTGTGTGTTAGTTTTTAACAAAAATGCTTAAAAAGTAAAGAATCAAAATAAAAAATGTTAAATATAAAGCTTATAAAATAAGGATATAAAGAAAATATATTTGTATAACTTTATTTTTGTGTTTTAGGCTGTTATTACAAAAGAGTAAAAAAGTTAAAATTTAAAAGTTTGTAACTTAAACTGGCTGGTGTGACTCAGTGGACTGAACATCGTCCCATAGACAAGAGATCCCAAGTTCGATTCCAAGTTAGGGCACACGCCCTGGTTGCTGGCCTAATCCCCAGTAGGGGTTGTGCAGGAGGCAACCGATGGATGTCTCTCTCTCATTGATGTTTCTATCTCTCCCTTTCCCTTCCTCTCTATCTAAAAATCAATAAAAATGTAAACATATTTAAAAATAAATAAAAGTTTATGTTAAAAAGTTATAGTAAGCGAAGGTTAATTTATTATTGAAAAGAGAAATATTCTTAATAAATTTAGTGTGCAGTGTTTATAAAGTCTACAGTAGTGTACAGTAATATCTTAAGCCTTCACATTCACTCACCACTCACTCAATGACTCATCCAAAGTAACTTCTAGTCCAGCCGTGGGCAAACTACGGCCCACGGGCCGGATCCGGCCCGTTTGAAATGAATAAAACTAAAAAAAAAAAGACCGTACCCTTTTATGTAATGATGTTTACTTTGAATTTATATTAGTTCACACAAACACTCCATCCATGCTTTTGTTCCGGCCCTCCGGTCCAGTTTAAGAACCCATTGTGGCCCTCGAGTCAAAAAGTTTGCCCATCCCTGTTCTAGTCCTACAACCTCCATTCATGGTAAGTGTCCTATTAGGTATACCACTTTTTATCTTTTATACTAGAGGCTCGATGCACGAAGATTCGTGCAAGAACAGGCCTTCCTTCCCCTGGCTGCCGGCACCGGCTTCCCTCCGGCACCCAGGACCCAGGCCTTCACTCTGGCTGCCGCCTTCCAACTTCGCTCTGGGCCAGAGCGGCCTCCCGCCTTCGCTCCGGCCCTGCCACCCTCCTTTAGCTCCCTCCATCCCCCGCCCCCCCTCATAGCAAGCATCTCACCCCACCCCGGCTGCATCGTGGGCACTGCCCAGAGGCCGGGAGCGGCCGGGGAGAGGTGGAACGCCTGCGTCCCAGCCCAGCCACTGCCATCTTTGTCATGTCAATTTGCATATTCCCTTCTTATTGGCTGTGGGCACCGCCATCTTTTCGTAAAGTGACGGCCAATTTGCATATTATGTCTTTATTAGATAGGATGATATTTTTACTGTATCATTTGTTTAGATATGTTTATGCACAAGTACTTCCCACTATATTACAAATGCTTACAGTGTTCAGTACAATAACATGCTATACAAGCTTGTAGCTTAGGAGCAATAGACTAGACCAGTGGTTGGCAAACTGCGGCTCGCGAGCCACATGCGGCTCTTTGGCACCTTGAGTGTGGCTCTTCCACAAAATACCACGTGCGGGCGCACACGTACAGTGTGATTGAAACTTCGTGGCCCATGCGCAGAAGTAGGTATTTTGTGGAAGAGCCACACTCAAGGGGCCAAAGAGCCGCATGTGGCTCACGAGCCAGTTTGCCGACCACTGGACTAGACCATAGAGCCTAGGTGTGTAAGTAGGCTATACCACCTAGGTTTGTACAAGTGCACTCTATGATGTTCACACAACAATAGAATTGCCTAACAAGTCATTTCTCAGAATGTATCCCAACTTCTCAGAATGTAAGCAACACATTGCTGTATTTCTTGGGTAGGCCTGTCACTCCAGCAGACAACTATAATCACTTTACTTTCTACTTTAACTCAGCCTTGCCTCAATCCAAGGGGTAAATATTGCCCGTGGGCAGAAAGAAGGCAAAGAGCTCAGCGTCAGGTCAAAGTCTAATTCTCCAATGTTGGCCTCTTCTGTGTCCCCCTAGTCCTCCTGATTCTGTATTTCTGCTGTATAGGCTTCCTATACTGGATGCCAGTCTTAAAAGTCTTTATTTCCTGCTAAAGACTCTAGAACAGTAGGCTGAATCACAGCATTCTTGGACTGAACTGTGCCAGCTATCACCTGTGAGGTGAATTTGTTTGGGACCCTTATGAACAATTTGCATATTCCAACACTCCCCTGGCCTCCACTACTCTTCCTGATCATGACTGCCCCTGGAGTTGATCGATTTCCTTCTATATTCAAGCTCTGACCCATAAATCTGTAAGGTCAACCTTCCCAATAGTCCTGTCATTCTGTTTCTTGAGCTCAGCTCATACAATACCCACACATAAGAGAACAATAAAACAGAACCCTATATAGATGAATTTCCCAACCTAGGACTACCCATCTTAAGATATCTTTTACTTTTTAACAACTGCCCCAAAAGAGAATATATCACCTCCAAGGAGAATACCTTTTCTTTTTTCCCCAACCATTGCTAAATATACCAAACATACCTGCTCTGAGAGTGTTCCCCACCATCCTCTACCCACTTGGGGTGCCTAAGATACCTGTGTCTCTTGAGCATAGCTTTAGAATTAGGTATCTCTTGATTTTATTAAAACTTTAACACTCCTCTTTCTATTGTAAGGGGAGAGGGGAGTTTCTTGCCACCATGGGACTGCAATGGATAAATGTATTTGACCAGATTTCTAGGAGTTAAAATTCTTGACAGGAAGATGTTAACAGTCCACAATGAGACTATGTCCATACTATTAATGGCACTATAGAACCCATCCATAATTCATATACTGTTGCAAACAACTAATTCACAAATACATTCATAAGTTGTAAACTGACTAGAAAATCACTATGAATAGCAGGAAGACTCTAACAGCAGACAGATTAAGCCTAGTGTAAAGACTTCAGAGAAAATGGTAGTTCATTTTCAGCAAAGTGAAATTTCACCACAACCCTAAAATAGCTTGCCTTGCTAAACAGCTCAGAAAACTGCATGAATAGCTCACAACCAAGAATGGTATCAAGAATGAATGTGCTGATTGGAATAACAACCATTAACCAAATCTCAGTTCCGGATAGCAACCCTATCAATCTTAAATAGAAATAAAAATCTTTAAAACAAATACAGGAATCTTCTGCCCATTTGGGTAATAATATAGATTTAGAAGGTCAGTGACATGTCCTTGCAACCAAGAAAAGAAACTAGAGGCATGTACTCCATATTTCAAATAAATACGCAACAGATTAAAGTTTAGAATTTTTCCCATTTGATGAATCTAGCCTCTTTCCCTAAAAAAAATAAAAAATAAAAATAAAAAAACAATTCAAAAACTTTGTAGTATCAGGACTCCTTTGTGTTCTCAAAATTCAGGACTCCCAAGAGCTTTTGTTAATGTGAGTTATAATTACCAATATTTACCATATTAAAAATTAAATGAGAAATTTTTAACTATTTATTAATTCATGTTAAAATTTTAATAACATATTTAATATGACAAATAACATTTTATGAAAAATTTCCTAAACAAAAAAAAAAAAGCTTAGTGACAAAAGTGATATTGTTTCACAACTTTTGCAAATTTCTTTCAGGTCTAGTTAGTAGAAGACAACTGGATTTTCGTATCTACTTCCACATTCTATCTGTTGTGATATACTGTTTTGCTTGAACTATGTGGGGAAAAAAGCTCTACACAAACAAGTACTGAGAAAAAAAAGTACATGTTACTATTAATAGCCTTTTCAGATAACTGTGGATTTTTTTGATACTACACCAAAACCTGACAAGCAGCAGTTAAAGTTAGC